AGTTGAAATATTCGGACAGATACACATATAAGCAAACACATATATACACAAACATACATACATACACACACACACACACACACCATGAGTCGTCACAATATGCGTTTTTGCGTAAATACAAACGCAAAAACGCATGAAAATGTGAGTTATTTATGCACGTTACGCTGCAGTAGCTGAGAAGCACCATCCTACTCAATGACCACTGTTTTAATCGGAAAGCATGCATCATTCTGGAATAGAAAAGGTGGAATCTAGGTGCCCTCTTGGAAATAACGTACGCTTATTGCTTTTTAACGACAAGAAAAAACACTGAAGAGAAAACTGGGCACCTTAAAACGGAAAATTCCAAAGAATAGTTTTTCTTATGGTCTGCAAGCGAAACCTTGCTTGTTGAAATTCTTTTTCCCGAAAAAGGCTTAAAAGCGCATTTCAGAGACAATGAAAACAAAAATCGCTGATTTACAGTGATGAAGAAAATAGAGAATTCTACGACCCATTCTTTTGGAATGAGACAGATCACTGATCCGTTTTCACTATTTTAGACTGCAGTTTGGCTAGTTAATGCCTCAGTCTTGGTCTTCATACTGCCTTTCCTTGCCAAAAAGCAGTTCCCAGTATCTGCTACTGCAGCCGCTTCGGCCTTGATTAATTTTTGCCTCATCTCGCCCCTCAAACCGAATCTACTGTATCCTTTTACTAATTCAAGGTAGTCTTCATAATTAAGCTTGCCAAATTCTGCTGTGTTTTGGAGCGAGAGCGCTTTTTGGTTTTGGATAGAAGTGGATACATTTCGTTAGGTTGTCCGGCCGATTCCGGTTCTAGCGATAACAGCTCAGCAGCCGTTTCACGCGGCCATACAAATACATCGTCCACGTGCAGCTGTGTCGGCTTTCCTTCCTGAAATCTCATAATTTTCGTTATTCGCTCAAGTCAATTTCTATTTTAATTGCTCACGAACTTTACAAATATAATTAAAGTTTCTTCAGTTTCATTCTAAACTTTATCAAACCACGCCTCTGAAGCTATCACTGATGCAGACTATAGTCGCATAAAGGAAAATAAGTTTTACGACTTTTTGTCAACTCCCGTTTTCCAGTCAACATTTTTAATCAAATTCAAAAAAAAAGAACGGGCGAGAATCACTTTTTACATGCATTTTATTGTCACAGTTATCAAATAAAATTATAGTATTACGCACAAGAGGACGAGAAATTCTTTAGGTTCCTTTCTTGAGAAGTTATGAACTTTTCCAGTTTCTTAATATTTCCGAAAACCTGCCCCACTGCATCTACTGTTAAGGAGTAACGGTAAATATATAATTTCAAGCTTTGTCTGAATAAACAAAGGAGTTAATTTCAAATGCTTATCAAAATGGCCATGTTTTGTGCGTTAACCGACATTTTTGGCGATTGCTTGTTCAATGACGTTGTCCAAATCAATGTTGTCGATAACTGATGGCTCTACACCACACTTGCTCCCGACTTCATGTAGCAAATCGCGCACTTTTAACCTTAATATTGGAGAAATAATAAAAATCTTGCAAGAGTATTTCCTTGGAATCGTGGTATCAGCTAGATGAACTAAACTAATAATGAATAACTAAGCAAGAGATTCTGCTTTGCCACGGTAATTCTGCCGAACCGCAATTTTTATCAGTCTGCATTTTCTTATATTTATTCAAAACTGTTTTTTCCAGTGCCTGGATAACGAAAAAATAAGAAAGTAAACGTGCCAGGAAGCTGGCATAGTTATGCGTTTTTACTGTTAATTGTTGTGGACGCTCGATATCGAACACAACAGAATACACAAAGGCGAACCAAGGCAAATTTTATTACAAATAACTCAGAAAACTTGCCATGGTCCAGTAAAAGCTCCTATTTTTAAACTTGTAAGTTCTGTATTATTATCTTTCGTTGATAAAATCTGCTCACCCATCCTGTTTTCAGCAAGCAACGCAGAAAACAGCGCTATTAAACTGACTTTAAGCCTGGGTGCTCATTTCAGGTCTCTTATCTCAATAATATACAAAAAATTGAACATGTAATTTTAATTTTATGCCCTGTGTTTTTTCAGCACAAAAGCAGTTCAAGTTGGGATAATTGAATGCTGTTTCCATGAAGAAACTGAATTATGAAGAAAATGGATGGTGTTTCCATGTCCTCAGCACATACACAAAAGGCCTGAGACCCAAAGTTTCTGTCCGCTGATAGTCGAAATTTCACAGTTAGGTTGCCCAGTCAAATGCTGGTACAAAAGTTCCCCAGCCATAATTCTTTCCTTACATAAATAACAAAAGTTTAGAAGCACGGGAATGACGCACGTTTTGCCGCCGAACCAAATTTTCGTAGTGGCAACATTCTTCATCTTCTGCCCAATGTAGTGCAACTTCTTCACATATTCCGAGCCAACATCTGAAACAGCTAACGACTCATTTATATGAATCGTTTCATTTCAGAGCCCTTTTTGCCCTTCCCAGATCGGTCATACTCGTTTTTCGAAAACGGAAATGATGAAATTTTGTCGGTGCACATGAAGCGAAAAATACATCGGATAAAGTCAAGATCGAGCATGATAAGACTGAAAGCATTTCATAGTGAGCACACAATGTAGATCAAGATTTAAAAAAAAAAAACACTGATAGGAAACAGCAGCAAGGAGTGTAAGATTTGGTGAGGCTCAGAAAGCCTGGATCATAATATTTGGACAAACTAACGAAAACTTTGCCTGACACTTAAATGTGAACATGACAAAGTGGGTGAGGCTGAGTAGACAAGAAGAATCTATAAGATCTAAACAAAGAATTTAAATGACTCGTTTAGAGTCGACGATTTGTTTTCGTGAAAATGCCAGTGGCACAAACCCAGACAAACTGACTTAAAGTCGTTGATTTACTTATCTTGAAAATGGCAATAGCTGCTACCTAGACAGATTGACTGCCTGATATAAGAAGAGATTGATATTTTCGGAACCCTGCTAAGATTAAGCAAACCTCCTCGTAATTTTTCTTTAGTAAAAACAACTATAGGTCTTCGTAACAAACGAAAATCTTTTAGATTTTATGCA